TATAGTATATTTCTATGCAAAGCCACAAACAGTTGCGTTAGAAATTTGGTTACTGCTACCAACTTTAGTATAATGCCTCCTGCTAGTTGTGACCGAAGATCTATTGTATTTTGAATATGGCTAAACGGTATAGAATATACAATACTTTGAATTCCTGGCCCCGAAGTCGGAACGTCGAACTTCAAGGCAGTTTTTTTCGTGCTACTTAAAGAATTTACTTCCTCGTCAAGTTGGACCAAAACACGGCTTCTGAAAAGTCTGAAATAGTGGAACATATGGGATTAATTGAAATCCTTTGTAAACGCTTAAGCGATTTTCGGCCGTGCTCCTCCTCCAATATGTGGTTTTGCGTATTGATGTTTTTCCAACAAATGGATGGACTTGCAGTTTATACTAAACCGTTTCCGAACAGCTGACGGTTTTTTTTATGAGGAGCCTTTATTTCATGCCAGAAATTGACTCGGAGGGGTGGACATTCCCTGCCAAGGGACGACCGCAATTTGAAAATTTAACTTAATTTTTTATTTAAATTAATTTTCCATAACTTATTTTGTTGTTGATGGCACCGGTTTTTGAGCCGAACGTTCCGAATATCAGTACGCAATGCTAACCACTCTGCTACCACGGCCGTCCTAATCCTAAGGCATTATTTTTTTATGAGAAGACTTGCGAAAAAGTTGATAATTCCTTCACTTTTCTAGTTAAACTTTGCAGCGGTAAATGATATTTTCAAATTAATTAAGGAGTTTATTAGGAATACTACATAGTTGTCGTCGAAAATGCCACACAGTGACGGTAAATTCTGACTGTTATAGTTAGCTTCCGAAGCGCTGTGACCTTCAAAAAGGAGAAAAGAAGATTGTACGTAGGTCTTCAAAAAGAAAATGCGATAAGTTTTAAGTCCTGAACGAGATGGCCGCCACAGCTACGCTTACAGGACCGTATCCCTTTCATGAAATGCTCCATTACTAAATCGCAAAGTGGCTGTCGGATACTGTATGCCGTCAATAGCTTCACGAATTCCATATTTGAGGTCTTGAATCGACATAAGTCTGTTGCCGTCGACCTTATCTTTCAGGTAACCCTAAGGAAAGAAGTCGCAAGGTGTTAAATCACAAAATCTCGGTGGCCAGTTGCCATCACCTCTTTAAGAGATAACATGGTCGAAAGTTTTCTCTTAAAAGATCGAAGGTTTCGCTGCTTGTGTGGCACGTACCACCGCCTTGATGAAAGAAATATCAATATCATCCAATGCCGACCATAAAAAATTATTAAAAATCATCTCTCGGTAGCACAATTCATTCGCCTCATTTTCGAAAAAGTAAGGTCCAGTGACACTGCCGTATCATAAACTGTATCACACAGTTCCACGTTGAGGATGGAGAAGCTTTTCAATAATAAAGTTACGTTTTCAGTTAGACTTTCCGAGCACCAAATGTGACAGTTTTGCTTATTGAAGTAGCCGTCGAGGTGGAAATGGGTCTCACAAGACAAAATGATTTTTCTATGAAATTCCGGATCATTTCGATGCAGTTCAATGATCCAAATATTCATATGATAAATTCAAAGGGAATACATTCAGGTGCAATCATCTAGATATGTATAAGAGAAAGGGCTAACTGTGAAGTCACCTCTCTGATGGAAGATCCCTACCAAAAGTACTGAGAAGATATAACTATGGTTAGTTATGCTCCGGATGCATTTAAGGGCTCCAAATGCTTCAGAACAACATTAAATATTCTCCCTGGGTAATTTTAAGTAAAATAAATGCTCATACGTGTGTACATATATATACATATATAATATATATATACAAATAAAATCAAGAGGATACGTATGGCTAAAGTTAACATGGCCTGTGTGAAATAAATAGAGACACCAAGTATGCCAACGCAACACCACACCATGGAAGGGTTAAGCAGAAACTTAAACGATTTAATTTGTGCGTAAATTCTCAATCTTACACGGACTGACACCCACACTCCTCACCCGTTCGCTGCCTGCTGCCTGCTGACTGCTGCTACACTGATGCTGGGCACACATTACACGTTGTTGAGCGCATGAAATTTATATTTGCTGATAGCTAATGTGTGTTGGCGCTCAACAAGCGTATGGCATACGGCATGCGGTGTGTGGCATGCCACAACAAGACAATCGCCGTTGAGATACTTCAGGTTGTTGCGTGCACGCGGTTTTCGCCCGCCATCCGCCATCCACCAACTCCCCCCTCTCTGCTTTGGCGTACCCTTTCGGGAAGTCGCATAGGTGGTTTTAAGTGTGGACATACATATGTATGTATTGTGGCTGCTGTCGTAGTAAACACTTTCCTCCACCTTCGTCATGAGCTATGCTCATTCCACACTTAATTACGCTCATTAATTTTGATGTTGCTTGTTGTTATTTTTAAGCGATATACTTGCAACTGGTTACGATTCTTATTGTTGTTGTTGTTGCTGATGCTATTTGCTGTAAAGCATCAGGGTTCGCAAAAATGCTCCATACATACATATCTACAAAAATATTTAGATTTTATTTTACATTGTTGCCACTATTGATGGGCAGCAGCCCCTTGCAGCAGTTCCCTCTCCCAATTCCTGTATCATCCCCAGCCCCTTTGCATTGTCATTGAGCGCATTTTCCAATTAGTCACATTCCTGCTTACAATATGATTTTCATTCCGGCAATTTGGCGTTGTTGTTGCCTCCATCTGTTGCCAAAGCGTCCACCGGCTGTTTGCAGTTGGTTGCGGACGATTTAGTTTGGATTTTGTTGTTGTTTACTTAATGTTGTTGCCTTTGTGAAATGTTGAAACGTTCGAGTTCTCAATATCCGCTGTAAAAGTATTTAACGCCATGTGGAATGTAAACATTCCTTCCGTTCCGCTTGAATTTATGTCCATTCGTAAATTTCGCTCAAAGCGAGCGCCCTGAACGAGTTGCGTTGAGCTGAAAAATGTGTAATTTTAACATTTTTATTACTCATCAACCATAATCAGATAATTAATTTGGAGTATATGTGCAGAGCTATAAACTTTTACATGAAGTATCAGGGCTCGTACTGTGCAGAACTCACTATTCGAGAATCAAATCCGATCAACATAGTGAACATACTTAAGTCTCAGCAGGATTCATGGTTGCCTTCTCGTCGAACCCCACCTTCGTCTGGTTAGGTGAAACACTTTCTAACTAGACGCCTAAAAAGAGATATTTTCATTTGCTGGCGGCTAACCGCCCACTCGAGAAGTTCTAATATGTTGCTGTGCTGTCAGAGGTCTCTTTGGAAGGTTACTGAGGTTACCGTGGAAGCTTAGGTATATCATTAATTATGCCTTTTCAGAAAAGGATGGACCCTAACATATAAGCTGCGTCTCGGGCTGATATATTCTTGTAAAGAGTCTATGGGTGATAGTTGGATTCCGTGTCGCCATTCAAAGGAAGAGAATTATTGAAGGTGCTGGCGGACTCTCAATGAATGACGTTTACAGCATGACGGTTGGTCGCTGCGGTGGGATTAGTGTAAGTCCATTGAGGTCATCTAACGGGAAGTACTGCAAACGAGCTGTTTCGACGAGTTCGATTAATGCCCTACAGAATCCCATTGCAGAACTTATGTTGGGTAAATGTGTCGGGCTCAAAACTTAAAGAAATAGGTATCAAGTCGATTAAAACATTCAGTTCTTAATTGTGCATGTAATTGGTGGTGCTTGGATTCAGGAAGAGGTTAATAAATTTACTGACAGACTCTTGGTGTATGGGGTTTAAAGACTGTCAGTACGCCGTCCTGCCCAGGGGTTCTTGTAAAAAATGCTATATTGTATTCCCGTCCCGACGGTGTTATAACTAGTCCCCGGTGTCCAAATAGGTCGCAATCATAACCCACTGACTTGGTGTAGACTATGCAGGACTCAGTTGGTGAGTGAAAAAAGTGGATTTCGATAACCTGCTCAACCTTTCTAGTCGAATTAGACGAAAGGTACTGGATAGAAATGGGATTAAAATAAATCCCAAAATACTTCCGATCCAACGAAGTGCGCTTATCGAGACGTGTTAGACAGAGATCTATAACTTGGTTGCGCCAGAGGTGAGGTTGCATGTCAGAAAGATCATCGTACTTCAAAAAGAAGCTCGATGTTTGGGTGTCACACGAACTAACGAAAAAAAATATGATGAACCGAATTTCCATCTGCGAATCACTGCTGAATCGCAACAAAATCGACCCGTTTCTGAAGCGGATTGTGATTGGCAATGAAAAATGGGTCACTTACGACAACATCGAGCGCAAACGGTTCTAGTCAAAGCTCGGAAAGCAGCCCAGACGGTGGCCAAGACCAGATTGACGGCCAGGAAGGTTTTGCTGTTTGTTTGGTGGGATTGGCAGCTACTACGAGCTGCTCCCCTATGGCCAAACGCTCAATTCGGCCCTCTACTGCCAACAAATGGACCGCTTGAAGGCAGCACACATCCAGAAGAGGTCTTCTTTGATCAACAGAGGCCGAATTGTGTTCCATCAGGATAACGCCAGGCCACAGGCCACAGGCTCGGATGGGAGGTCCTAATGTGTCCAACTTATAGTCTGGACCTGGCACCAAGTGATTACCATCTCTTCCTGTCCATGGCGAACGCTTTTAATGGCGAGAAGTTGGCCTCAAGAGAGCCCTGTGAGAATTGGCCCTCCGAATTTTTCCCAATTGGGACACAGCCTTTTACGAGAGAAGTATAATGGAGTAGGCATCTCGTTGGCAACAAGTTTACGAACAAAATGGCGCATATTTGATTATTATCATATATTGAAAAATCAATAAAAAGCCGAACGAACTTTTTACTTGACCTAATATTACATCTAGAGCTATAAAACAAATGAGGTTACTAAGTTTTCATATCTTCCTACAGCGGTCGCTCAAAATTAGTCAACATTGGAATCATACCTTTAGTAGCTTTTTCCCTTTACTTCTTGCACACACCAAGCATTTCCATTCAAATTTCTTTTTATTCATTAAAAAAGTAAAAATTTTTATTTTTTGTTTTCATTCTATTTTTGGCATGAAGTAATAAAAAGAACTGATATTCTTGTGCAGCTCCAGGAAGTGTTTGGTGACTTCTTTAGTGAAACCAAAAAAAAAAATGTCAAAATATAAAAGTACCAGTGAAGAGATTAAAGAGGAAAGAAAATTAAAAAGAACAACAACAGCAAGAAAATCAATACAAAATGTACCCAGTGAACCGCCGGCAAAATGGGAAGGAAAAATCTATAAACTTATAGATGGCACAAATTTCGATAGCTACCTCGCAGCTTTAGGTGTTGGTCCTGTTTTGCGTAAAATTGGCAACTCTGTGCGACCAGTAATTGCTCTGCGTAAAAACGGCAAATATTACTCGTTAATAATTGCTTCTGATTTTACGACGACAATACAACGCTTCGAGCTGTGCAAGCCCTTCGATGAGTTCACGCTAGACGGTCGGCTTATGCGTACAACCATGTCGCTATTCAATAACGTACTCATCCAGCATCAAATGGGCGATATACCTTCAACGATAGTGCGGGAGTTTCACGAAGACAAAATGATTGCCAAGTATATGGTGAAAGATGTTGAGGCAGTGCGTGTATTCCAAGCGGCGGATGAGGAAATGTGTAGACTGATTTGGGAGGCAAATGTAGCTAAGCGATATCGTTAAGGGGAAAAGTTGCATTGTGTGAGTTCGACGGTGTGTAGGAGTCGCAAGTCGACAGTCAATTTTGCTTCAAGGCAATTACACTTGGTAACAGTAGAGAGCAAATTACTGTTACTTTGCGTCACTGCAGTTTGGAACTCACAAATGTGGACTTCTCTCTCAATATTTGTTTCCTAAATTCTTTGTAAGGTGAGCTTCTGCATCAAGTTTTTTTTTTTGGAAATTTTAATGTTTTTTGTAACGTGTTTTAATGTATGTATATACAAAAAATTCATATTTATTTGTTTGTAACTGTGAAAAGCGACCTGGTTTGACTTTCTATTTCCTATTGGTGCAAAACAGCGAAGACAAGAACCGAATGGCGCATGACCAAGACAATGAAGAGCACATGAAATGGTATATGAACTTATGTCCGAAGTATGTAAGTACCAAAAGGAGCAGAGATGTTTAGCGATGGTATTAAAATTATGACTTGAATTGATTTAGCCATATCCGATTGTACAGTTCCTTGTACGGACACTATACCCACAGGTTTTGAGATGACTTCGATGCACAATCATTTGTCGAAAACTATGGCATATATACGACCGATCATTCAGATTTGATATTTTGAGTCGTAATATTAAGTGTTACAGTGATCGGATTTAGTTAAAATACGCGCCGTTTTGTTCGATGATCTGTTTCCATCTAGACGGCAACTTCATAATACCTTCCTCGTAGAAGCCCCCCTACTTATTTGCGAAGAATTCGGACAGCCACTTTTCACAAGCCTCTTTTGAGTTCAACTTCACACCACCAAGGGCATTCGCCATGGACAGGAACAGGTGGTAATCACTTGGCGCTACGTCCGCGCTATATGCTCCCATCCGAGCTCCCGTAGCTTCTGACGAGTCATCAACGAAGTGTATGGTCTGGCGTTGTCCTGGTGGAACACTACACCCTTCCTGTGGGCCAATTCTGGACGCTTCTGGTCGATTGCCTGCTTCAAGCGGTCCAGTTGTTCGCAGTAGATGGTAGAATTCAGCGTCTGGCCATATGGGAGCAGCTCATAGTGGATTATTTCCTTCCAATCCCACCAAACACACAGCAAAACCTTCCTGGCCGTCAATCCCGGCTTGGCCACTGTTTGGGACGATTCACCGGCCTTCGACCACGACCGTTTTCGCTTGATATTGTCGTATGTGATCCATTTTTCGTCGCCAGTCACCATCCGCTTCAAGAATGGGTCGAGTTCGTTCCGTTTCAGCAGCATATCGCAGGCGTTGATTCGGTCCAGAAGGTTTTTTTGCGTCAAATTATGCGGCACCCAAACATCAAACTTTTTTTTGTATCCAGCCTTCTGCAGATGGTTCAAAATGGTTTGGTGACTAACTCCCATCTCCTGGGCGATGTCACGAGATGCCATATGCCGGTCTAACTCGATGTATTCCATGATTTGATCGGTATTTGTCGTCACAGGTCTTCCGCCGGCTGGCTTATCCATGGTGTCGTTTTCACCGGCTCTGAATCGTCGAAACCATTCCTCCGCGGTTCGAAGTGATAGAGTACCATCCCCCAAAACACCATTAATCTCACGGAACGTTTCTCTAGCGGATTTGCCTTTAACGAAGGAAAACTTTAAAATATCGCGAGTTTCGGCGTTAGTGAACTCCATGTTTACACGTCTATAACTCTATAACTGTTGAACGCAATATCCAAACTAATCGTGCATAGCGTTGTTTTGTAGGTTATGTCAAGACCTTTCAAATTATGTATAGTGTTGCCAGATACGAGCTCTGTAGCGCTTTGTACATAGCCGCGAAATTCAAAAGACAAAAAAGCGGAAGGGATGCTTAATGCTTTTAAGAAATTACACTTTGAAAGTTATTGAAATCGGACAACTATAGCATGTAGCTGCCATACATCGATCTATACAGATATGAGACTTTGATCAGAACTTAATCCAAAAAATCATCTGGTGTTAGCTATTCAGAAGACTATATCAAATAGCCACCTACAAACTATTTGTTCAGAAGTAAGGTTTTGGTCCTATATTTCCTTAAAGATTTATATAAAAATATTTAGTTAAATAAATGACATTGTATATCGCTTGATATTTTGGTTTAGTTAAAGTTTAATGGTTCTTTACCATTCCCTTATCATGGCAATCAGTTGTGGACCTCAGTGATCTAGCGAATATATATGTAGATAGATTTATTTCTACACCCAAAATACGGATTCATCCCTTAATCCTGATTCTTTAGAGAATTTTATTTATTTTTATAGAAAATCATTCCGAATTCACAAACATTTCAATGCAACACTGCGGTAAAGCCAGTAACAGTGGATTTACAAGTCTATTTGAGAGCCAAGTACAAACCGACTGATATTTCGTAAGCTTTTAACTTAAAAATTAATTAATTCCCCATGGGCAACACTTTTGTAAGAACACCAACTGTAAGAACGAAATCCACAAACCACTACAGAACACGCAAACTAACCTCTAGAGACTTTGGCTAGCAAACGATTATTTGCATTTGCAGCGATCAATGCGGCGAGCGTAAAAAAAAAGAAATGTAAAACAAAACGAACGAACTCCTTTGGCCCGAACTTATATAAATACATTCCAAAGCACAATTCCTTTTGCGGCCATATGGTAACGGCAACCAACCACCGCCAACACCACCACCACCGCCATCACACTGCCGGCAAGAGCAGAGCGCTCATTGTTCAACGCAGTGCATTGTATGAAAATTATTTAAGTTCGGTGAGCTCTCAAGTACAAGTTGTCGCACCCAACTGTAGTGTTGCAAGTTATGTACCGTGAACACTTCCAACGAATAAAAATACAACGAAAACTGACTACTCGATTAGTATTTGCTATTCATATGCAAAAATGTAAGTTATTCGCCAAACACAAGCAAACACACACACACACACACACACACACACACAGACACACACACACACACACACACACATACATACAAAAGCCGCTACATGTCTGTTGCAGCATGTTTATGCGAAGCGACTTCCTAGAACTGTACGCAGCACTAAACGCATTTTCCTCATATTTTTATTTCCTTCATACGATTGCGATCGTGTCCTGACATTCGTCGCTGCGCATGATCAAATACAGGTGTTTGATAATAATTTTGTAACGACTGTAGGCGCAAAGGTAAGAGTACATACAAACATACATACTCGTATATGTAAATACGAGTATATACGCAACAGCAGTGCGCAGTCCACACAGGAGGACCACCACACTTGATCAGTAGCAACAACACAAGCTGTGTGCACGCCAACTCCCCAAACGCTGCTCCAGTTTGTGCATACATTCTACCGTTGTGTTGCCCGTTGTTGTTGTTTGTGTATATTGTTCACGCGCTTGACACGCTTCGCCGCACCTCTGCGGTTCGGTTGGCACATTTTGCGCGCTACTGTTCGCCAGATTTGCTTTGCGATTTCAGAAGCACAATAAAAACTACGATATTTGCATATCTCCAATTGTGTATGCAAATATGCAATGCCGAAGCTAAAAGCGCAGTGTTTGAGTGCACACGACGACGGCCTGGCATACCAATGGACGTTGGAGATTGTCATTGACCAATGTTGAAGCTGCCGCAAAGTCGCAGAGAAAGAAAGCAAAACAAAAAAAAAAAACAATCGTTGATGCTTTGGCGGCATGATCGTAAGTATGTATGTATGTGTGTGTATGTACATGTATTTATGTAATTTTTATTGTACTTAAATACATGTCTATAAAGCTTTCGTTAGCTGCTTATAAATATGTCTCAAGTTCAGAACCCCAAAGAAAATTCTAAATACTTGTAGCTTGCCTGGTTGGACACGTCTATACCAAGACCTAGGCTAAAGTGATTTTCATTCCGAAAGTGAGCAAATCCGATCAGCTGTTTCAAAAGATTTTCTGACTCATCAATCTCACCTCGTTTCTTGTAAAAATCTTTGAGAGCAAAAAGCTACCCCTACTTTACCGTTGAGTTTAAAAGAATTATGCTTGGCGTTTTCCTCTACATATTCCAAGAAGAGTTTTCTTCTTCTTCTTTTTTTGACGTTGGCACCGCTTACGCGATTATAGCCGAATCAATATGAGCGCCACACCTCTCTGCTTTTCGCTGTCTGGCGCCAGTTGGAAATGTCAGTTGGAGTGGAGGTCTTCCTTTTTCCCTACTTCCACCAGCGGGTACTGCATCGAATACTTTCAAAGCTGGAGTTCTTTCATCCATTTGGACGACATGACCTAGCCAACCAAGCCGCTGTCTCTTAATTCGCTGAACTATGTCACTATCATCGTATAGCTCGGGCAGCTCATCGTTCAATCGTCTACAGCTACCAATGCGGTTGTGCATAGGGTTTGTGATCCACCACATGAAAAACAAAATCCAATGAAAGATTTCAATCAGCCGCGGATGAGAGACCCCCCTTTTGATGACGACCCCCGCAAATGCTTTAAGGATTACGATTTTAAATCATGCACTTGTAATGCCCGGTTCCTTAATTGGGAAGGTTCCGCTGCCGAGCTGGTTGATGTCCCTATAAAATTTAAGGGCTGACATCAGCGCTGTCCAAGATGCGATGGGCGGGACAAGGACGGAAGAAGGTGGGTGCTTGTGAAATTTTCTACAGCTGCCATATATAGGAGCGCAAATTTGGTGTCAGATTCGTGATGGGAGAGAGATTCCGTCGCCGAGTACTGGAGCTCACTCCAGTGGTTGAACGTCACGTCACAATCCGCGTTAAAACGAAATTCTTTATCACCAAGCTAATTTGCGCCCATGCCTCGACGGAAGAGAAGGATGACTTAACCCAAGTTACCTTTTACGAGCGCCTCGAAAACACTTATGAGCGCTGCCTTCGCCACGACGTCAATATTGTGCTTGGCTACTTCAGCGCCTGGGTGAGCAAAGGAGTTATTTTTGGGATAACAGTCGGAAAATTCAGCCTCCATGACGAAAAACCCCCAAATGTGCTGAGGCTGCTAGACTTCGTCGGAGCAAGAAATATCACAAAAATTAGTTAAAAAATAAATCCTTACGTACTTCCAAGGACCATAGCTTGCATTGCTTTTCTCTTCTAGCCTTCAAAAAACATGAATTAAATAAAGAATATTGAAAAGAAATTCTTTTAGTTTTTCCTTATTCCTACAATAAATTTATAAAATGAGTCTATTTTCAACCTCTAGAGTGGCTTTACCCCCAAAACGAGTAAAATATAAGATGTGATCCAATGCCTAGGGTAGACAGTTTGAGATTAAAAGGATCATAAAT